AACGAGAACTTGCTTTGCTCTGGCTGATTCAGAGCCCTTTAGGTCTGCAGGTGCAGAGCAGAAGTAGGGACTTCACCTGTCCCCCCAAGGAGGGAAGAGAAAGAGGCTGCTAGGCTGGTTCGCTGCATGGGAAACAAGCCAGCTGGAGAAGACCCTGCCTGCCTCTGCATGCGGCTGTTCAGTCTTTCCTCCTCCTTCCTTAACAACTAAGTACCGAGCGAGCGAGCGGGAGGGGAAGGCACGAAGAGGAGCTGAAGTGTTAATTGTATTCTCTACATACAGATCTTTGCAAAGAAAGCCCTGTCATTGCTAAGTATATGCCGACAGAGGCTGTGAGAGTGACTTGACCAGGCGGCTTGGCCGAGGACACTGGTGGCTATTAAGCATCTGGGTGGACCTGCAGCCCCTCCTCACCCTCGGACAGAGTAAATTCACGCCATGCAGGTTTGCCGGACGAGTCCGAGTGGCCCAGGCATTGTACTAAGACGGACGTAGCTTTTTCTACGGCCAATGGTAACTGACCGTAGAGGATCACCCTTCTTTCTTTTCATATTTTTTAGAAGTTACCTTTTATTTGGGGAGGGGAGGGTGAAGGGGAGCCTTAGCATGACTTGCATGAAGTTAAATAGAAAACCCAGCTAAACCAAACCCACCAGCCCCCACTGTAACTGTATGATTGCCCTCACCACCACCAAGAATGGAGAGAAAAGCAAGGGGCCTTTACTTTCTTTCAGCGCTCTTTGTTTCGACACATGGTGTCGGAGCCAAACTGTAATGGCACTCAGTAGAAATCTGGACATTTCTGGTTGTGGGGGGCCAGGGAAGAAGGACGGGGCCAGGGAATGGATTGCTTTTTGTACACAAGACCCAGAGGAAAGGTTTCAAAAAGGCAGTCAGTCATCGGTCATATTGACCTCACCTTCGTAGCTCATCTCTCAAGCGGAAAACAGAGAACTTTGCTCCGAATAGGATTGTGGGGACTCACACTGCCGCCCTCTTCCATCTCTGTTTGGCATGCTTGTGACCCAGCGGACGTCTCCCCAAGACCCTGACAGCGGCTAGTTTAGGTTGATTCTCTCATCTCAGTGTGTAGAACCAGTGTGACCAAGTTTCATAACGAATTGTTCATAGTTCCACCATATGGATTTTCCAATGTCATTTTAAAGCCAGGATGTAGAGTACCTCCAGTTCAGCACCACCAGAGGGGGGCCTCCCCTCCACCTTTATTAAGCCACAACCTGGCATTGTATGCAATTTAGTACTTCAGAGTAAAAAACAAACAACAACAAAAAAACTGCATGCCCAATGTTATGCAAAGAGATTCCAGCATGAAATAAATTTTATAACATGGTTTCTGTCTAGTCTAAAGCAGATTTGTTTTTCTGAAGCAATCGGAGGTTTGCAGAGACGCGCTTCTGCATCTCGAATAAATATAGTATTTTCCCAACAGAAACAGAGGACAGTAGCTTGGCTTTGGTCTGATTCTAAAATTAGTGTGTGTGGGGGGAAGGATGTTATTTTTGAAAAACACATGCTTGAGTTGGAAAAAAAAATGCAACATCTCAAGCTTTCACTGCAACATTTCCTGGAAAGACAGCAACCTCCCCTCCCTGGGGCCCCGGCCCTGGAAATAAAAAGCTAACTTCTGAGATGAAGCACTGAGTTGAGTTTTTATTGCCTTCAGGCAGTATCTCCGTTCTGTTCTGGTACGGCTGTGCCAATCCTAGGCCTGACTACTATTGTAGTTATGTAAGCCACAGTGTTGCTGGGCTCAGAGGACGCTGTCCCCTGAAGGGTAGGGCTGCAGATCCTGTTGGGCCAAGGGACAGAAGCACATGCTCTGTGGGCTTCACCTGGTATGGCTCTGTGACTCATCTGAGTAGGTCCTTGCATGAAGCCATGCTGCAGCATCTAGTTGCCCTGTATAGCCAAGGGCACCTCCCTGTGAGGACAACTGTTGGGTCTGACTGTCAGGTCTGGGTGCCCTGGTCAACTTGCAGGGACTGTTCTAAAGACCACCTCACCGTGCTCTCCTCTCTCAGCCTGGACACACCTTGGAAAGAGTATAATCTGTTCTGCAGGTATTGGGTGTGGGGTGGAATGGAAGATCTGATCCTTCCTCATCCACTGGTGATTCCAGAATGTTCACGTGGAAAGAGACCCCAGAGGCTATACAGCCAGCCCCTGAGCATCTGAATATGAAGAGACAAGGCCAAAGAAGGCAGCAAGCTGCTCAGGGTTACCAGCACAAAGGTGTCAGCCTCCCTCAGGTTTTAGTCCCTTTGTCATCTTCCGGCACGGGTCTGTGATCCCATGGGTAGGTAGGACAAAGTTTTACCTACTCGTTTCTCATCTCGCTAAGATGTTGCCTCAACTTCCTGGTACCCAGTGAAGTGCAAGAACCCAAGGCTGGGGCTTGGGGATCCTCTGCCCAGGCATCTCATAGCTGAGTCTCAGGACGCACCAGTGAGACAGCCAGGGCTGCTGCCTGAGACCAGTGCTAACATGAGCCAGGGATCTGCTGGGAAGATGGGGCTTTGCTGATTAACACAAAGCCATCTGGAATATAGGCCTAGGAACACCACAGCCGGAGAGGATCTATTGTGTAGGGGCACCTCGCAAACCCTGCCTACCACCAGCTCAGAACAGTCCAGTCACCCCATATTCCAGCCAAGACAATATGGCACAGAGAGGGAAAGCAACTGGCCTAAAGCCACACAGTCCAGTGAAGGTGAAGTCAATATCATAACCTGGGTGGTCTGACTTCAGGGTTCAGGTTGGGCTGTCATTTTGGGGCTGGTCCTTGATGGTGAAATATTGAAGTTATGGGTTCTGAATCTGGGACTCTTTGGATTTGGTCTCCTGCCCTTCTTCATGGAGTGCTATAGGTGTGATAGAAGGGGCCACTTCCTGTTCTTTTCCAGATCTCTCCTGATTCACAGCTGGCCAACCCCACCCAGCTGCCCTATGGATGACTCCCTCAGCTATTTTTCTAGAAGGCCAGCAGCTTCCCGCCTGCCTTCTACCCTGTCCCTCTGTGCTCCAGTGAGGCAGTATTGCAGCAGTCACACTACTTGCAGGTCTTCCCCTCACCCCCCATGCCCATGGCTAACCCCCAGATTCAATGCCTGGGGCAAAGTGAAAGTGCCTGGATTCAGTGTCCCTAAGCACCGTGCCACCCATCTTAGTTAGGGTTTCTACTGCTGCGATGAAACACCATGACCAAAAGCAAGTTGGGGAGGAAAGGGTTTTTAATTCAGCTTACACGTCATCATAGTCCATCACTGGAGGGAGTCAGGACAGGAACTCAAGCAGGGCAGGAACCTGGGGACAGGAGCTGATGCAGAGGCCACAGAGGGGTGCTGCTTACTGGCTTGCTCCTCATGGCTCGCTTAGTCTGCTTTCTTATATAACCCAGGCCCACCAGCTCAGGGATGGCACCACCCACAATAGTCTGGGCCCTCTCCCATCAATCACTAACTAAAGAAAAAACATCCTACAGGCTTGCCTGCAGCCCAATATTATGGAGGCATTTTCTCAATTGGGGTTCCCTCCTATCAGGTGACTCTAGCCTGTGTCAAGTTGACATAAGACTAGCCAACACACCATCTAAGGATATTTTAGTGGTCCTCACAGGCATGAGAAGCCTCATGATGGCCAAGGGTGGTAGATGTCTCAAGGGAAGATAGGCACCTGTGACCAGAGGGAAGAGTGGGTGTGGGAAGTAGAGATAGCAACAGCTGTTGCATGCTGGGTCTTCAACACTTACTCCAGGGCCTGGCCACAGACCTGCAAGCACATAGTGGGGGCATTCTTCCTTCTCATGAGGGGCAGGGGTGGAGAATGAAGGCAAATTTACGTAGTCAATCAAGAAAATGAGGTTTTTGTTTTTTAAATGAGCTGTTTTCTCAGGTAAGTTCCTGTGACTCTAATGAGCCTAACAGAACAGGTGGAGTGGAACTGTCAAATCATCAGACCTGGAGACTGTTTCTCAAAAAGCTGTAAACAGAACAAAGTGGGGAGAGGATAAGGATGGGATCTCAGAGCTGGCTCAGTTAACCTCCCCATGCCATGGTGACCCCTGAGGACACTGAGATCATTCATTTACATTTTGCTTAGTTCTAGAACTAAGAGCTGGCTCCCTCATGGGCTGCTAGGGAAGGGAACTTGGGCAAACTCTTAGAAAGACAAATTGCTACCAAAGTTTGTAGGGGAAAAAACAAACAAACAAACAAACAATCTAGACTTATCAACACTTCCTTCCTCCCTCTGATAAGCACATTCCCTCATCGGAGATGAGCAGTGAGGTGAGGAGAAGGGCCTTCTGTCTACACTGCCATCAGGAAGGGCAGAATGGAGTGGCTGAAGTGAGGCGGTGGGCGATGGGACCATTCCTTCTGGCATTTTCCTGCTTCCAGAAGGATCTGACCCACTAAGTAAGCATCTGAAGTTCTAGATCAAAGGACTTAGATAGGGCTGAGCACCAATCCTATTCAGATGCAAAGATGCTCCTAGCTCATGCAAACAAGGCTCTGGGCTCCAGCAACAGACACTTAGGGTGTTTTTTTTTTTTTTTTTTTTTTTTTCCAGGATGTGCTGAAAGGTATAGGAGGGAGCCCTGCCCTTCGGCCTTCTGGGCAAGATGGTGTTGGTTTCTTGTGACTGGAAACTGTCTAGGCAGTATGGGTCACATGGGAATGCTTTCTGACCTGGCTTTTGCCAACTACTCAGCCTACAGGACAATAACCTTGAGTTTGCTCCAGTGTGGCTTCCCACTGGGCGATTGCTCCATCTCTGTGGGTTCAGTCATGCTAGCAAGAGCATATCAGAGTACAAATGCTGCAACACCTCTGGGCCTGGGAGGTGGGGTTGTGTGGGTTCAATGCTAGGAGCAAGACTTCATGCACTGGGTTTCAGGTCAGACTGTGGCTGCAAGTGGTGTCTCAGCTCAGGCCTGTGGAGTTTGGAACCAACTTCACCTACACCTTCTGAGAAGAACCCACTTTTAGTCATTTAGCTGCTTCCTATTCCACCCTTGTCTAGCTTGGGGCTCTGTCTGGGTTATCCTGGACCAGCAGTGAAGTATGTGACCTTGAGATGATCCTTCCCCCTTTTCAGGCACCATTTTCTCCTGGTGAGCAACAAGAATGGTTGAACAAGATCAGCAGTTTCTATATTTTCTTAAGGATCCACTTATCAAATATAATATTATGCAGATCACAATATATAATGTAAAGACAAAACCAACACTACCCCAAAGAACCTGAAGAACTCCTCTCTTTCTACCTGGCCCACTTCCCAGCCTACAGTGTAGGGAGTTGGTTTTGTTTTTCATTTTTTTTTTTTTTTTTTTTTTTTTTTTGAGACAGGGTCTCACCTTTTAGCCCCAGATGGCCTGGAACTCTCTATGTAACCCAGGCTGGCTTTAAACTCACAGAGATCCACCTAGCTCTGCCATCCAGGTGCTGGTATTAAAGGCACGTGCCACCATGTATGGCTCTGAAGAATGTAGTTTGGAGCCTCTAGGCTATGTGTCGATGGAAGGTCCCCCAGTTTTAATGTCCTAGGCTTCTATAATCTCTGGAAGGCAGTAGAGCCGAGGCAGCTCAGAGACTACATAGCTCATCTGCCACAGCAGCCCCAGAACCCTGCCTGGCTGGAGGAAGACTTATACATCTTCTGAGAGTTTCCCTGGTTCAGACACCCTTGTCTGAACTTGGGGTTTTCTCTGCTGGGTCTCCCAGAAGCTTTGTGTTCTCACCACTTTCTCATTCCATTCTTCCCACCCGACCCTATGCCTTTGTTTGTGCCCTGGTCAAACGAGTGCCTTCCCTTCTGGGCCTCCAGGCAGAGTACCTGGGTCCCTTAGACAGGCAATGGACTCTGGACAGAAAACAAACCCCCGAGTTAGAAGGGAAAAGCATGCTACTCATGCTAGGATGCTCTGCCTGCTGTCCTAAGGCAGCTGGACCAAAACACAGCCGGGGGCTGGGCTGACAACATGCAGGGCGGGAGCCTTCCTCGCTGGTCTTAACTTTGCATGGTCTTCAGTGAGGATCCCCTCATTTGCATCTGCTGAGCAGAAAAGATGCCTTCTCTGTAGCTCAGCCCTCTTTGTGTGGGGGGGGAGCCGCTCCTCATTGTTCTGTCTGTAGTTCTGCCCAGCCATCAGGGCTTACTGAGCCCCTGAGCTGATTGACAGAAAGATTCTCCAGGGAACCATTTGTTGGGATAAGGCACTTTATTAAGGGTCCTCTCTCATGGTCCCTCATTTCTTGTCCTGTCAGAATTGCTTTGGGTTGAAGTTACTGACTGTCTCTCCTTCCGGTTCCTCTCTTTGTTCATGCCATTCTGAGATTCAGGGTTCCCTGTGTCAGCTTGGAGTGTGTAGATGACCTTGACATCCTGGCACGGCTCAGAGAGTGCTGGCAGCTGACATAAGGCCAAGGAGTGGCCAGCCCCACAGCCCACGAGGAGGATTCTTGATGGTGACTGAAGAGCCTGTACTGGGGATGGAGTCCAGACGTTGGACTCAGTGCCATCTCCACACATGCCATGTTCGTTCCAGCCCCAGGAAAAACACTTGTCACCTGCAGGAGAGAGGGTACACATGTCACTATAACATCCACTCCACATAGGAAGAAACCAAAGCTTGTGACCATTAACAGGGTATATTCAAGGCCTACCTCACCTGCCTCCTGCCTCAAGTCTGTGTGTCAATCCCATTCTTCCTCTCCACAGCTGCTCATGCTCCTGTCCTGGCTTTCCATCATGGAAGCCACGTGTGACCAATTACTGAGCCTTGCTAACTCCACCACCAAGAACTCCAACCCCTCCTGTGTCCCTCCATCTCTGCTGTTACCACTCCGGCTCAGGCCACCTGCTTCTCACTGGGGCTATGCCTGCTTCCCATACATTCTCATGTTGTATGCTTATAATCTCAGCTCTTGAGAAGCTGAGGTAGTAGGCACTGAGTTCCAGACCAGCTTAGGGTACACAGAAAAACACTGTTTCAACCTCCTTGCTTAAGAAAACTACTTGATAGAAGAAGCAGGCACCCACAGCTAAGCACTGAGCCATACTCCTGGAATCCAGTTGTAGAGAGGGAGGAGGGATGAGCAAAGGAGTCAAGACTGTACTGGAGACAGCAACAGAAACAGCTGACCTGACCTAGTGAGAGCACAGGGACCCCAGTCGTAAACCTGGGAAACCAGCCTTGGACCGAACCAAATCCTCTGAATGTGGGTGCCAGTTAGGAAGCCTGGGCAGTCTATGGGACCTCTAACAGTAGAACCAGTATTTATCCCTAGTGCACAAATGGACTTTGGGAGCCCATTCCCTGTGGAGGAATACTATTTCAGCCCAGATACACAGAGGAGGGCCTAGGCCCTCCCCAAATGAAGTGACAGACTTTGATGATCCCCCATGGATGGCCTCCTTGGGGAGTGGGTGAGGGTTGGGTTGGTAGGGGACATGGGAGGATGGGAGGGAGGGGGAACAGGGAGATTGTTATGTAAAATGATTGTTTCTAAATAAAGAAAAAAACTACTTGAAAATTTGAAATATTTAGTATGCAGAAAAGCATGGAAAACAATGTACAACATCCTAACCTAAGTTCAGAACATTAGTTATCATTTTCCCATATGCACCTCAATCCTTTCCTTAAAAAACAAACAAACAAACCAACCCCCTCAAACCATTTAAGCCTGATCTCCTTCTGGGCCCTCCACCCTGCAACAGTACCACTGTTTTGAAGCCAGTTTCCTTATTTTCACGAACATATATATATACATGTACGTGTATATCGTTAAACACTATGTACTCATTTGTTTTAAAGACTTACAAATGTAAGCACACAGCTGATACGTACCCTTTATCCAACCTATTCTTTACACTTGACACTGCTTTAGACATTTATCTGAGCCAGTGCTTCATCAACCTAGCTCATTAATAGCCTCTCATTATGTAAAGTCATATTCTACTCAGCCATGACCTTGGGACAGCCAGTTCTTAATGGTCATTATTGTTGCCACTGGGCAGGCTATATACACCAAGACCTGCTATATTATGATATTATACATCACCAATTTGGCTGCTATTATAACAGGACAGCTGCAAACATTTTTGAACACGTTTCCTGGTAGAAGATGATGCTCGTGCAGGGTGATCCTCAGAAGCACATATAAGTCATGGTGGGGGTTCCTGTTTAATTTTGTTAGGTATAGGCCAGAGTTCATCAAAGTGGCCACAGGTGCCCTCCTCTCACTTACAGACATGGATGTGTTCCTCTGCATGTCTCCCTGTAGACTACCGCCACTCCAGTGAGCATATCCACTTAGTTTGCACTCCTGCTAACACAGTGAGCTCTGCCTTTTGAGTTGGAGCCAAGTCACATGCTTATGTCCTCATCCTGCTTGTTCTTTCTTATTGACGTCTTAGCGCATTTCCCCCTGGTTCTACACACTGCAAGTGGCTTCTCCCAGAAGTCTAGGGTGTGTCACCCCATTTTGCTCATGGAGTCTTTTGCTAAGCAATTTATTTATAGTGGCTGCCTAATTGCACATTATGAAGATTAAACAATTTGTTTAGCCCACTGGCCATTAGCAGACACTCAGGTTGTTTCTAATTTTCCATTTTCCTACACCTTTGCATGAACACCTCAATGTGAATCTTTGTCACTCCCTCTAATTACCTTTTCAAATTGGATTTGTAGGATGGGGATTCCCAGCCGTGGGCACCGCCATCTTGGAGACTCCGGAGGTCTATCTGAGGAGGGCCAGGGTGCTCCTTGGAGAAGCCACCTGGATGTAGCTTTGGTGATCTGTGGGCGTCTCTGCCCCCTCCACATCACTAGTGTTTACTAGCATCTTTTTTCAATTTGATACAAATGGTATCTCACTGTTACATAATCCTATGCTTCCTGGAATCTTTTCTTTCCTCTTTTGTGTACTGTTTCCTACAATCCTCCTCTCCACCATAAAAATGTTTAAGTGTTCAAATCCAAAAGCTAGGTGACCTTTTTTTTCCTTCTTCAGTTTGACTTAAAATTTTGCTTTAGAGTTTTCAACAGACATATGTCTATGATTTTATTTACTGATCTAGGGGAGGGACAGGGTCTCATGAAATTTAGGTCAGCCTCTAACTTACTATATACCCAAGGTTAATCTTGAATCTCCATCCTCCTGGCTCTGAGTGCTGGGAGTGCAGGTGTAATTACATGGAGTGGACTCAGGGCCCTTTATAAAGTTCAGTTCTTTTTTCAGCAGTGTGTATGAACTGAAAACCTGCCTTTATGAGAAAATACTCCTGATTTCCCCACAATCCGAATGTCTATATCTTTACAATTGTGAGATTATACACCAAAAGTTTGTCTTACAGATCACTGTTTCAAGAGAGGAAGGCCAGCTGGTCCAAAAGGATTGCCCTTAGGGCTCCACTTCCTCGGAGGAGGCAGTTCTGGTCAGGGGCTCAGGTCTGGGGAATATGTCTTCTGGCAAGACAAGGAAACACATCAGAGAGTGCTTCCCTGCCCTCCCTTTGGTTGGGTAGAACTTCCCAAGGCTGAGCAGGAGCAGGAGGGGGATGGAGGCAGGAGGAATGGAGGAAGGAAAAAGCAGGATGGCATAGCCTGGAACCTCAGGGCCAGGAAGGAGGATGGAAGAGCCCAGAACCTTGGAGCTCAGTTTGGCACCTTATATGGGCCAAGTGCCAGGCCCTGGTGAGAAGCGCAGCTGACAGTCAGCAGGGGTGGGGTGGGAAGCAGGGGTGGAGGTGGGAGGAAGACAGAGCTGACCTCGCCACAGGACACAGCACAATAGGCAGCTGGCATGCTCTTCTCCTGCCAAAGGGAACTCGCTCTGAGGAAGCCACACTCAGGGCTGGGTAAATGAGGCCTGGAGCCAGGATTTTCATGCCTGCTTGGTGCAGACCTGGCAAAAGCCCAGACATCTCTTCCCCGATGCTCTGAGCAGAGTATGTGCTTTGGGTCATGTGCTTTATCTGCTCAGTTTCCAACAGCCCAGTGAGGTGGCCACACTTCATGGGTGTTGCTCATCTTCCAGGAGAGAAGGCTGAGCATCTATAACATGGAGTGGGCTCCCAGCAATGTGCTAAACTCCACATTATACACTAGGCTTCGCCGAGCTTATTCTTACACAAATACTTTAGGTTTGAGGGCCCCACTAGTGTGCTGTATGGGTGTGTGCACATGTATATGGGAGTACATGTGTGTGGAGGCCAGAGATCACCGTTGGGTCTCTTTCCTTCATCTCTGTCTACTTTAGATTTTGAGACAGAGAGTCTCTCTCTGAAGTTTATTGATTGGCTAGAGGGGTTGGATAGCAAGCCCAGTGACATTCTTCTTGTCAATTCCCAGTGCTGGGGCCACAGATATGTGCTAACACTCCTGTTTTTCCCAGGGATACTGGAGATCTGCATTAAGGTCCTCCTGTTTGTGCAGCAAGTACTGTGTCCACTGAGCCATCTCTACAGTCCCACCCATTCTCTTTTCGATAACCCTTTTTTGGGTCTTTAATGGCTTTCGGGGCTGAAGGGATGGCTCCACAGCTAAGAGCACTTATTACCCTTGCAGGACCTGGGTTCAGTTCCCAGCACCCACATGGTGGTTCACAACCATCTGGAACTCCAGTTCTAGGGAATCTGATCTGGCACTGTGTTCTGATCTCTGTGAGCACCAGGCATGCACATGATACACATACACACATGTATGCAAACACATACAAATAAAATAAATACATCTAAATTTTTATTTTAAAAAACTGGTTATGTCATCATATAAAAGTAGGCCATAGGTCAGATCCAGTCCACCAACTGCTGCCTGCCTGATACACAGGATACTATTTAATACGGATCATGCTAGGCTCTCCTGAGTTCCCCAGCACACCTAGGTCCTCACATGTCAGAAGTTCTGAGGCCTCTATACATCTCCCAGCACTTGATCAAGTTCAAGACCCAGATGCAGATACAATATAGGGCGATGCCTCCCTCCATTGTCTCCAAGGACCAACCTTGATATGTCACCACTGCCCAAAGTATGGAGTCTTCCACTAGGGTTCACATACTTCCTTACAATAGCAGTGTCTGTGAAGCTGAGGAAGTCTGGGAGAAGAATAGCTTTGGGGAGAAAGAAGATGATGAGCTCTATTTGGGGCAGTCTAAGATGGAGGTGCCAAGGGCATGGAGGTACACATCTTTAATCCCAGCAGTTGGGAGGCAGAAGTAGGTGGATCTCTGTAAGTATGAGGCCAGCTTGGTATAAATAGTGAGTTCTAAGGCAGCCAAGGCTGCATAGAAAGAACCTGTCTCAGAAACAAACAAATGACAGAGGCCCTTGCGGACACACTTGAACGAACACACACTGCAGAAAGCCCTGTGGTGGGCCTGAGGGAGTATAACCTGAGAGAGAACCAAGTGAGAAACAGTAGGAGGTATGATGCAGATGGGCCCTCAGGTGCTAGCACAGTTCACAGGGGTCCTGAACCATGCTAAACCAGTTTCTGGTTTTGCTTTTCCATGAACAAAGTGAATATCTTGTATTTATAAAACTATAAAGATTAGCACTTATACATTT